AATAAAATAAAAAAAAAAATCTGGAAAATTTAAAAATTCTATTCTATTCTAAGTAGTATTGTATAACATAACATAAAGCTTTGATTATTTAGAGTTTAAGGCGCTCAATACCAGTTCAAATAAGTTGTAACTGTAACGTTTTTGCAGCTTGATTTAAACGAAAATTAGAAAATTAAAGATGAGAAAGAATATGTCTTAAGGTGCTAATAAAACAAGTATTAAATAATATATTGGGAAAATAAAGAATAATTTTTTAATAGAAAAACTGTTATTATATGAGATTACTAATTTATAAAATTTTATATATAAAATCTTTATAAGATAATTTTAATAGGTTGGATAAGAAATCAGTAGGTGTTAACGATTTGGTAATATAAAAAACTACAATACATTATCTAGTTAAGTAGGTTATCAGTAAAAAAAAAGCTTACATACATACAGTTTATAAAATTTAATGATTCATATGATATAAGCTTTTATAATATAAAGATATTATAGTAAAATTAAGCTTAAATATGCAACTTTTGTGCAAAAGTTTTTTTCTGAAAAGTCTTTTGCAATCATCAAACGTTTTACTAAGTCTATAGTAGTTTACTATACAAAATGTTTGGCTTAAAAGAGCTTTTCATCAAGACAATGTTTTAGAAAGCTTTTGGGTTATGCACATGCATACAAAAAAGCTCACAGAAGAAAAGAATGAAAAAAGTATTTACTTAAAAAATACTTTTTGTAAAATAAAGTTTTATAGAGATTTCTTCCCTTTAAGTTTTTGACACATAAAGCTTTTTAAAAGAATTTTAATAATAATATAACACGATTTCCAATCTTTTCAACGATATTGTATCTAAAGAAGGTTGTTCAATAGTCAAGGTTCTGAAATAAGCTTTTTGTAGAAAAAGCTCACATAAAAAACTTTTATTGCAATTCTCTCCATAATGATTTTCTAATGCATTTTATGCAAAAAAATAATATAACACAATTTCCAACATTTCCAAAGATTTCTCAAAATAAGTTTGTTCAATAAGGTTCTGAAAAGAGCTTTTTCTAGAAATATGCTACCTATATTGTTTTAAAAGCTAGTTTATGACAAATTTTTCGTTTAAAAGATATTTGTGGTAAAAATAAAGTTTGATTACAATTTTCTTCATAAAGCTTTTTAAACAAAAACTTTAGAATGTTGATGGTATTTTTTTAAAGAAGCTTGTTATTGAAATAAAAAAGTTTTTTTTTTTGTAAAAAGATTTCATAAAAAAGTTTTATTGCAAACTCTCTTATAAAGCTTTTTTCTAAAGCTTTTTAAACAAAAATCTTTAGCAAGTTCATGTTTTTTTTAAAGAAGCTTCTTATTGAAATTAAAAAGTTTTTTTTGTAAAATAGATTTATTTTTAACGATATATCGAAAGGTTGAAAAAGCATTTTGTAAAAGTTTCTTTAAAACCAAAACGCTAAAGAAGCATAACATTATGAAGGCATTTTTTAGTGACAAAGTTCACAGTTTCTTAAATAAGCTTTTTCTAGAAATATGCAAACGATTTTAAAGTACAAAAAGTTCTATTAAAACACTAGTTTTGTGCTTTAGAAAAACACTTTTTGTGGAAGCTTTTTGTAAAACATAGTTTATTATTGTAAATATCCAGATAGATTAAATGTATTTTATGTTGTAAATAATTTTCTCTAAAAGATACTTTTCTGTGTAACAAACTCTTTTGAAACCACCGTTCTAATTAAAAGCTTTACGAAGTCTAACTTTTACTTGTAAAGCATGTAGTTTTTGAAACGCGTGTAATTTTTTTTTTTTTTTTTTTGAAAAAGCTCATTTAGTAAAATTATGTTAGAAAAATTGATTTGCGAAAAATAATTTTATTAAAAAGCTTTTAGATAGCTTATTGTGAAAGCTTTTTTTCTTTAAACAAAGTTTTTTTGAGAAATACTGGTAGTTTAGATCTATTAGTTTAAAAAAATTATTTAAAATACATAGATTTTACTTCGAAGACAGCTTTTTGTAAAAAGCTTTTACAAAAATTCTTTTCGATTTCAAAGCTTTTCAAAATAACATACATAGAGTTGAAAATTATATTAATTTTCACAAAAATAGTTTTACGAAAGTTTTGGGAAGAATTCTGCTACCAAAACTAAAGAAGTTTTTACGTAACAATTATATCGAAAGAAATTTTTGATATTAAATCGTTTTTCGAATATTTTGAAAAAAAATTCGAATAATTTTAGAATTGTATTCCCATTATTACTTTAAAGAAGAAGACCAAGAGAATTTAAACTATTTTTTTTTTAAAAAGAACGTATATTTGAAATAAACCAATTAACTACGATCATAAATTATAAAGATAATATAATATGCTTAAAATATTCATTATTAATTTTTAAAAAATTTTATTTCCATATTAAAAATAAACTCTGAAAACAAACTCCATTAAAATTTTCACAATTCCTATGCCACAGCTAACATTAATCATTTTATAATAAAGGAAAAAAGAAAAACTAATATTTTATTTGCATTTGCATTTATCTTAATGCTCCTACAAATTATTTACCGGTTTTCTAAAAGTAATTTTATTTCTAATTTCTCTTCTTTTTTTTACATATTTCTCTAATTGCAGTTATGTATTCTCGGCTCCTGGTAAACTATTGGATTCATTGCCTGGCACACTAATGTTAACAGATTGTTTGGAAGCATGCCAGGGTAATGAAACATGTCAGGCGGTTAATTATGAAACTGGTCTATGTGTATTATTCTCAGCCAATGCTGATCAATTGCCAGGTAAGTAATAAACAACAACAAAAACTTCATACTACTAGTTGTACCAACTATTAGTTATTTTTAGTAAAACTATAACTAAAAATAATGTAATTCTTTTTTGGTTATTTTATATTACAATTATAACATGATTGTGAAATGATCATAACTTTAAACAACATCTTTTTATCGTTGATTTTTAATCTTCTTAGTAATGATAATGATCAGATTTCATCTAATTTTTAGTTTTTCAAAGGTTGGTTCTTTGTGTGTGTGTGTGTGTGTTTAAAAATAAAGTTTTAGTGCGTCTGCACAATTATATGTTTTGCATGATTTGGCATAAAAGAAGTCCATAAATCTTTTGGTAGTTTGCCAAGAGTGTTTTCAGAGGTTTAAAGGCATAATTGAATCTAATTGAAATTTATTCTCATACATAGTTAAGCTTTTAACAAGCTGCTGACTTTTTATGGATAATTGCTAAATTAGCTGGTATTTTTCATTTGCCAACGCCTAGTGTCAAGTGTTTTTGTTTGTTATAATTATCAGTTGGCAAGTGAATTGATGATGATGATAATGGGAATGATTTGTAGATTTTAACAAGTTGTTTTCTGTACAGGAAAGATTAAAATAGATTAACATTTTATAAAGGCATTAAATCTATTTACTTGTAATTGAAGTATGGAAAATAATGAGACTATAGACTAGACTCTAAAATAAACTAGACTCGACTATAGAATAAACTATAGACAAGACTATAGGACTAGACTATAGACTAGACTATAGACTAGATATAGACTAGGACTATAGGACTAGACTATAGGACTATACTATAGACTAGACTATAGACTAGACTATAGACTAGACTATAGACTAGACTATAGACTAGACTATAGACTAGACTATAGACTAGACTATAGACTAGACTATAGACTAGACTATAGACTAGACTATAGACTAGGACTATAGACTAGACTATAGACTAGACTATAGACTAGACTATAGACTAGACTATAGACTAGACTATAGACTAGACTATAGACTAGACTATAGACTAGACTATAGGACTAGGACTATAGACAGACTATAGACTAGACTATAGACTAGACTATAGACTAGACTATAGACTAGGACTATAGACTAGACTATAGACTAGACTATAGACTAGACTATAGACTAGACTATAGACTAGACTATAGACTAAGACTATAGACTAGACTATAGACAGACTATAGAACTAGACTATAGGACTCGGACTATATAGACTAGCTAATAGACTATGTCTAGGTCTATAGTCTAGTCTATAGTCTAGTCCTATAGTCTCGTCTATAGTCTAGTCTATAGTCTAGTCTATTAGTCTTAGTCTATTTAGTCTAGTCTATAGTCTAGTCTATAGTCTAGTCTATTAGTCTAGTCTATAGTCTAGTCTATAGTCTAGGTCTCTAGTCTAGTCTATAGTATAGTCTATAGTCTAGTCTAAGTCTAGTCTATATTCTAGTCTATAGTCTAGTCTATAGTCTAGTCTATAGTCTTGTCTATAGTTTATTCTATAGTCGAGTCTATAGTTTATTTTAGAGTCTAGTCTATAGTCTCATTATTTTCCATACTTCAATTACAAGTAAATAGATTAATGCCTTTTATAAAATGTTAATCTATTTTAATCTTTCCTGTACAGAAAACAACTTGTTAAAATCTACAAATCATTCCCATTATCATCATCATCAATTCACTTGCCAACTGATAATTATAACAAACAAAAACACTTGACACTAGGCGTTGGCAAATGAAAAATACCAGCTAATTTAGCAATTATCCATAAAAAGTCAGCAGCTTGTTAAAAGCTTAACTATGTATGAGAATAAATTTCAATTAGATTCAATTATGCCTTTAAACCTCTGAAAACACTCTTGGCAAACTACCAAAAGATTTATGGACTTCTTTTATGCCAAATCATGCAAAACATATAATTTGCAGACGCACTAAAACTTTATTTTTAAACACACACACACACACACAAAGAACCAACCTTTGAAAAACTAAAAATTAGATGAAATCTGATCATTATCATTACTAAGAAGATTAAAAATCAACGATAAAAAGATGTTGTTTAAAGTTATGATCATTTCACAATCATGTTATAATTGTAATATAAAATAACCAAAAAAGAATTACATTTATTTTTAGTTATAGTTTTACTAAAAATAACTAATAGTTGGTACAACTAGTAGTATGAAGTTTTTGTTGTTGTTTATTACTTACCTGGCAATTGATCAGCATTGGCTGAGAATAATACACATAGACCAGTTTCATAATTAACCGCCTGACATGTTTCATTACCCTGGCATGCTTCCAAACAATCTGTTAACATTAGTGTGCCAGGCAATGAATCCAATAGTTTACCAGGAGCCGAGAATACATAACTGCAATTAGAGAAATATGTAAAAAAAAGAAGAGAAATTAGAAATAAAATTACTTTTAGAAAACCGGTAAATAATTTGTAGGAGCATTAAGATAAATGCAAATGCAAATAAAAATATTAGTTTTTCTTTTTTCCTTTATTATAAAAATGATTAATGTTAGCTGTGGCATAGGAATTGTGAAAATTTTAATGGAGTTTGTTTTCAGAGTTTATTTTTAATATGGAAATAAAATTTTTTAAAAATTAATAATGAATATTTTAAGCATATTATATTATCTTTATAATTTATGATCGTAGTTAATTGGTTTATTTCAAATATACGTTCTTTTTAAAAAAAAAAATAGTTTAAATTCTCTTGGTCTTCTTCTTTAAAGTAATAATGGGAATACAATTCTAAAATTATTCGAATTTTTTTGTTCAAAATATTCGAAAAACGATTTAATATCAAAAATTTCTTTCGATATAATTGTTACGTAAAAACTTCTTTAGTTTTGGTAGCAGAATTCTTCCCAAAACTTTCGTAAAACTATTTTTTGTGAAAATTAATATAATTTTTCAACTCTATGTATGTTATTTTTGAAAAGCTTTGAAATCGAAAAGAATTTTTGTAAAAGCTTTTTACAAAAAGCTGTCTTCGAAGTAAAATCTATGTATTTTAAATAATTTTTTTTAAACTAATATATCTAAACTACCAGTATTTCTCAAAAAAACTTTGTTTAAAGAAAAAAAGCTTTCACAATAAGCTTATCTAAAAGCTTTTTAATAAAATTATTTTTCGCAAATCAATTTTTCTAACATAATTTTACTAAATGAGCTTTTTCAAAAAAAAAAAAAAAAAAATTACACGCGTTTCAAAAAACTACATGCTTTACAAGTAAAAGTTAGACTTCGTAAAGCTTTTAATTAGAACGGTGGTTTCAAAAGAGTTTGTTACACAGAAAAGTATCTTTTAGAGAAAATTATTTACAACATAAAATACATTTAATCTATCTGGATATTTACAATAATAAACTATGTTTTACAAAAAGCTTCCACAAAATGTTTTTCTAAAGCACAAAACTAGTGTTTTAATAGGAACTTTTTGTACTTTAAAATCGTTTGCATATTTCTAGAAAAAGCTTATTTAAGAAACTTGAACTTTGTCACTAAAAAATGCCTTCATAATGTTAATGCTTCTTTAGCGTTTTGGTTTTAAAGAAACTTTTACAAAATGCTTTTTCAACCTTTCGATATATCGTTAAAAATAAATCTATTTTACAAAAAAAACTTTTTAATTTCAATAAGAAGCTTCTTTAAAAAAAACATGAACTTGCTAAAGATTTTTGTTTAAAAAGCTTTTAGAAAAAAGCTTTATAAAGAGAGTTTGCAATAAAACTTTTTTATGAAATCTTTTTTACAAAAAAAAAAAACTTTTTTATTTCAATAACAAGCTTCTTTAAAAAAATACCATCAACATTCTAAAGTTTTTTGTTTAAAAAGCTTTATGAAGAAAATTGTAATCAAACTTTATTTTTACCACAAATATCTTTTAAACGAAAAATTTGTCATAAACTAGCTTTTAAAACAATATAGGTAGCATATTTCTAGAAAAAGCTCTTTTCAGAACCTTATTGAACAAACTTATTTTGAGAAATCTTTGGAAATGTTGGAAATTGTGTTATATTATTTTTTTGCATAAAATGCATTAGAAAATCATTATGGAGAGAATTGCAATAAAAGTTTTTTATGTGAGCTTTTTCTACAAAAAGCTTATTTCAGAACCTTGACTATTGAACAACCTTCTTTAGATACAATATCGTTGAAAAGATTGGAAATCGTGTTATATTATTATTAAAATTCTTTTAAAAAGCTTTATGTGTCAAAAACTTAAAGGGAAGAAAATCTCTATAAAACTTTATTTTACAAAAAGTATTTTTTAAGTAAATACTTTTTTCATTCTTTTCTTCTGTGAGCTTTTTTGTATGCATGTGCATAACCCAAAAGCTTTCTAAAACATTGTCTTGATGAAAAGCTCTTTTAAGCCAAACATTTTGTATAGTAAACTACTATAGACTTAGTAAAACGTTTGATGATTGCAAAAGACTTTTCAGAAAAAAAACTTTTGCACAAAAGTTGCATATTTAAGCTTAATTTTACTATAATATCTTTATATTATAAAAGCTTATATCATATGAATCATTAAATTTTATAAACTGTATGTATGTAAGCTTTTTTTTTACTGATAACCTACTTAACTAGATAATGTATTGTAGTTTTTTATATTACCAAATCGTTAACACCTACTGATTTCTTATCCAACCTATTAAAATTATCTTATAAAGATTTTATATATAAAATTTTATAAATTAGTAATCTCATATAATAACAGTTTTCTCTATTAAAAAAATTATTCTTTATTTTCCCAATATATTATTTAATACTTGTTTTATTAGCACCTTAAGACATATTCTTTCTCATCTTTAATTTTCTAATTTTCGTTTAAATCAAGCTGCAAAAACGTTACAGTTACAACTTATTTGAACTGGTATTGAGCGCCTTAAACTCTAAATAATCAAAGCTTTATGTTATGTTATACAATACTACTTAGAATAGAATAGAATTTTTAAATTTTCCAGATTTTTTTTTTTATTTTATTTAATGTCCTACAATTTTCAATAAGACCACCATCAAATGAAGCTGATTTATAAAGAAAACTAGTATTACCTAAAAAACTGGTTCGAAATAACAAAAACAAATAATAAACAAGTAAGAAAGTATAGTCGGGCGTGGCCGACCATATGATACCCTACACCAGTTATGAATATTAAATGTGATTTATTTTTCATAATATCTCATTTATCTTCAATATTCCCTTGTTCCGATACATTTAAGCAATTTATGGATGAAAAACTAATTTTCTGAAAGAGGCTTTATATGGGGGCTAGGGGCAAATATGGACCAAGCCCGATAAAATTTTGTGAATATATTTATATTTACATAATATTTTATTGTGCTGAATTTCATCGCGATATTTGTGTTTATAAGTTAATTTGGGACATTCAAGTAATTTTCTGAAGGGGACTTTGTACGGGAGCTAGGGTCAAATGGGGCCCGATCTTCATGAAATTTGGCAGGGTTATCAAGACTTCTATAAAACTTAGTTGTGCCGTATTTTATCGATATATCTGTATATTTAACATAATTATGAGCTCAGAAGCCCTTTTCGGGCGGTTCTGTTCTATGGGGGCTAGGTGAAATAATGGACCGATTTTAACCATTTTCAATAGGCTTCGTCCTTGGGTAAAATAAAACGTGCGTGCCAAATTTCATCCAATTATCTTGATTGCGACCTGTAGCTTGCGCACAAGGTTTACATGGACAGCCAGCCAGCCAGACGGACGGACGGACATAGCTTAATCGACTCAGAAAACGATTCTAAGCCGATTGGTATACTTTAAGGTGGGTCTACGAATATTTTTATATGTTACAAACATCAGCACAAATCCAATATACCCTCCCCACTATAGTGGTGTAGGGTATAACTACAATCAATTGGTTATGATCTATATTATGGCTAGAATTTGATTTGTATTGTAAAATATATATTCTATCTTGCAACATTTTCTTGAAATTGCAGTTAAAAAAGACCGCAATCAACAACAAACTTTTTGCTTGAGTAAAGACAACAAACAACGTTATTTTTCCTTTTCAACTCTAAATAATTTGTTATTTATTAGTTAGAATTTAACTGCAAACTTTTTCTTGTAATTTTACCTGTAATAATTTATTAACTGATTATTTATTCTTTCATTTCTTTTATAGGTAAGTTTAACTGATTTTTCAACAATGTATAAGTTAACTTGGATTTTTTAACTGTCTTTCATCATGTAAATTATGGGCAAGTATACGTATAAGAAATTCAATTCTTCTTTTATGATTTTATAATTTTAATTATTTTTTTTATTACTCTTCATAAGAAAATGTTTTATGTGACTTTTCTTGGTTTTTCATTGGTAATTGAAACTTAGAAGTGAAAGTATTGCAAATTTTTTTTTAGATTTATTTTTATGAATCTTTGGCTACGTGATTTAATTAAAGAATTTTGTTAATTTCTTTATTATTAAATTATGACAGGGGAGTGTTTTAATTTAGTGTTGTTATTGTCCCAGATATGTATATCCCAGCAAAAACTTCCTCATATAGTCTGTATTATACAAAGGTACTGATTCAACAACAGGTGAATAACATAGGCCAACAAAATTTGCCAAAAATTGGAATCCCAAAGATCAAAATATACTTTCCTATAGGATTGACACAGAATTTCTCCATTACATGGGATTTTCGAGATATCGTGTCCTAAGATGTCATAATGGCCATATTTGAGACGTTATAACAGAGCAAAGGCACCTTAATTTATAAAATCTGTTATGCTATCTGAAAATCCCATCTGTTGACTTTTAAAAAAAGGTTTAAGGTCTGTTCACCAAATGGAAGATATTTTGTAAAAATTTCAAAAAGTATTTTTTATGAAAACAATTAAAAAAACAAGTAAGAAATTATAGTCGGACGAGGCCGAGCATATAATACCCTACACCTGTTACAAAAATAAAATGTGATTTAGTTTTCAAAATAAAGCATTTAAGTTGAATTGTACCTTGCCTCAGATATACTTAAGCCATTTATTAATGAATAAAATTGTGGACATTTAAGACAAATTTTGAAGGGTGCTTTGTAAAGAAAGCTATGGTCAAATGAGACCGTATAATTGCGACCTGTAGTTTGATTACAAGGTTTACAAGCCCTATTAAGGGGTTCAGTTGTATGAGGGCTAGGTGAAATAATGAACCGATCTTAACCATTTTCAATAGGCTTCGTCCTTGGGACAATAGACATAGAAGGACATAGAAAATAATTCTAAGCCGATTGGTATACTTTAAGGTGTGTATAAGACCAATATTATTGTGCGTTTCTAACATCAGCACAAGCCCACTAAAGTGGTGTAGGGTATAATCAGTTTTTATTAATTCAATCATTATGTTATGATATCTCGAAGAAGGAACATGATATTACAGAATTTAAACTTTTATTTTAAAATTAACATATTGAACATTCAGACGGCATAACAGAAGTAAAAAAAATGTTTTTGCGCTGTTATAATTTCTCAAATATGGCCAAACCGGAATTTTAGGACACGATATCTCGAACTCCAAACCTTCAGAATTCGTTATGTGCTGGCGATATATAGTCGTCTATCGTTTTGTGAAACAATTCTGAAACCAGTTCTTTAATTAATTCTGTTTTTCGAAATTGTCACACTTGGAACTAGTTCTACCGAAACTTTGGAGAACATATGCACCTTCCTTGGAACAGTTCTAGAACTAGTTCATTTTGCATTATTTTTTTTTTTTTTTTTTCAAAGGGTTCCAAGAAATTTTTGCAGAACTAATATGCTTGCCAAAGAACTGGTTCCTTGAAAACTACTCAGAAGACATCATTAGTTGCTGTTACTCCGTATTCGAATACAAATTCGATTGCACCCGTTTTAGAACTAATCAATTTAGAACATATTCCAATAATGTTAGATTTTTACAATTATTAGTTATCTAAAAAAAGTCTATTTTATTTTAAAATCTTTAAAATTCGTTGCTGATTTAGATCTTGAGCGATACTCAGAAGACACAATCGGCAAATTTGATCCGCGCATCGATCAATCATGCAACGAACACAGTCTCACCATTGAGAAATCTTTGTAGAAGAGCTATTGGTGGAGATAATGTCTTATCATTCACAGAGTTGGGATTATAAAGCAATACAGAATAGAACGTAGGATCTAGAGTACGATCAAAACAATTCGAAGTTTTGGGAAAAGATTTTCAAATGAATGTCTTATAGATCGATATAGCATGGCTGTCTGAGTATAAGGTATATCAGCTTTTAAATGACTACGACTTCCTGATATTTCAACAAAACCTTTCACACAAGAACTGTTTAGATACACTTTCCTAATAATTCTATATCTGAAACATCAGCCTTTTCAAAAGAATTACATTCCACTTTCGATCAGATATATACAATTATTTCCGTAATCCTAATTAGTGTTTAAAATATATTCTTAAAACTTACCCGGTTACTATCTCAAAACCCATCATATCCGAATCACACTCTTCATGAGACTGAGAAGAAGAACCACCATTACCCGATGCACCTAATTGTGTAGCACTATCCACGACCTCAACATCTTCAAAACTAGCAGTAGGTGTTTCTTTTTGTTCTTTAGGCAATTCCGCATCAGCAGGTTGTTTTTCTTCTTCAGCAATTAAATCGGAAGCAGCCGATTTGCCAGTATCTACAACAGCTGGTAAAGCAATCGTATCTTTAACAATTGCTGCATTATCTCCACTACCCGCTGAAGTATCTGATGCCAATGATGATTGATCAGTTTTTAAAGGTAAAGCCGATGATGCATTATCCAAAGACACTTGAGGTGCTGATGCAGTTTTTAAAGTTTCACTATCATTATTACTGTTGGTACTGGTGGCGGCGGCAGCAGCAACATCTGAGGCTGAAACATTTGCCGCTGTTAAATCTAAACGTGATCTTCTGGCAGCCTGTATGCTTTCAGGTGTTAAAATCAATACACTTAGCAGAGTTATGAATATTAGACGTGACATTCTATTTGTCGTTAATGGTGTTAAAATTCGAAAACTCATGTTATTTATTTGAATTGTGCTTCTTCGGCTGTGATGTCTAGTTCGCTTTATTTTCTCTCGCTCTTTTTTAAGAAAACTTTTGTTTTCTTTGAATTTGTATCTTTAAGATCGACACACGTATATCTTGTGAGTTTGTTATATCTATGGCTTTTGTTTGAAAGTGTTTTATTTATCCAATAATTATGATGTCTGCAAAAGAAAAGAAAAAATGTTATTATTATGTATTTTTGTGGTCATATATGAGTGATGATTTTTAAGTGACAACTCTTTTTTTTTTTTTTTTTTTGCTTCTACTTGAACCATTCTTCATTCTTGAACCTTGGGATTTTTCTTACATTTTTTTTTTTTTCGTGGACCATGTTTGTTTTATAATCCCCTATTTTTTTCTGGACTTTGTTAGTGTGTTATGAATAGGCGTTAGCAACGCCTTTAGGTTCTTCTTACTTATGTCATTATTATTATTTCCATGCCAAAGTATTATGTCCATTGAGACAATTGTGAGTATCTTTGTTATTTATTTTTTCATCTTTTTCGTCTTCCTTTATAGTCAGTTAGTGTATAGTTTCTAGGTGTCTGGAATTGTTTGCAGTTTTTCGCTAATGACAAGTCTATTTCCTCCCCATTCTTAAGTGTGGTATATACATAGGTATGTATGTGATACTTTGAGACGTCTATTTTTTATTAGTACTTTAAGCCTGTTTAATGAGCTTCTTTTATGGTTTGATTTATGTTTATATTTGTTTTTATAAGTCGTTGATTTCGTATTGTACCCTACTTGACAATTAAGTAATAAAAATTTTAAATTCCCACCAAATAGGTTGTTAAAAAAAATGTTTTGTGTATTTTTAAGGTTTTTGACATTAGAAATTTTTAATTTCATGAAATTAGATGACATTTATAAAAATACTTTTTAAACTTTTTACCCTGCAAATATTTAATTAGGAAATAGATAATAAGGAGATTTTTTCTATTGTATAACTTATTTTTTTTTCTTTTGTATAACTTATTTTTTACTTGAGAAACAAAATATCTTCTTTTAAACTTTCTGCAATTTATGAAAAGTCAACTTTAGACTAGACTATGGACTATACAATAGACTAGACTATAGTCTAGTCTATAGTCTAGTCTATAGTCTAGTCTATAGTCTAGTCTATAGTCTAGTCTATAGTCTAGTCTATAGTCTAGTCTATAGTCTAGTCTATAGTCTAGTCTATAGTCTAGTCTATAGTCTAGTCTATAGTCTAGTCTATAGTCTAGTCTATAGTCTAGTCTATAGTCTAGTCTATAGTCTAGTCTATAGTCTAGTCTATAGTCTAGTCTATAGTCTAGTCTATAGTCTAGTCTATAGTCTAGTCTATAGTCTAGTCTATAGTCTAGTCTATAGTCTAGTCTATAGTCTAGTCTAGTCTAGTCTATAGTCTAGTCTATAGTCTAGTCTATAGTCTAGTCTATAGTCTAGTCTATAGTCTAGTCTATAGTCTAGTCTATAGTCTAGTCTATAGTCTAGTCTATAGTCTAGTCTATAGTCTAGTCTATAGTCTAGTCTATAGTCTAGTCTATAGTCTAGTCTATAGTCTAGTCTATAGTCTACGTCTGATCGTCTAGGTCTATAGTCTAGTCTATAGTCTAGTCTATAGTCTAGTCTATAGTCTAGTCTATGTCTAGCTATAGTCTAGTCTATAGTCTAGTCTATAGTCTAGTCTATAGTCTAGTCTATAGTCTAGTCTATAGTCTAGTCTATAGTCTGTCTATAGTCTAGTCTATAAGTCTAGTCTATAGTCTAGTCTATAGTCTAGTCTATAGTCTAGTCTAGTCTCTCTATAGTCTATCTATAGTCTAGTCTATAGTCTAGTCTATAGTCTAGTCTATAGTCTAGTCTATAGTCTAGTCTATAGTCTAGTCTATAGTCTAGTCAAGTCTACATAGTCTAGTCTATAGTCTAGTCCATAGTCTAGCATGTTAGTCTAGTCTAGTTAGTCTAGTCTAGTCTATAGTCTATCTATAGTCTAGTCTAAGTCTAGTCTATATCTGTCATAGTCTAGTCTATAGTCTAGTCTATAGTCTAGTCTATAGTCTAGTCTAAGTCTAGTCGCTAGTCTAGTCTATAGTCTAGTCTATAGTCTAGTCTATAGTCTAGTCTATGTCAGTCTATGTCTAGTCTATAGTCTAGTCTATAGTCTAAGTCTATCTAATCTAGTAGTCTAGTCTATAGTCTAGTCTATAGTCTATAGTCTAGTCTATAGTCTAGCCTATAGTCTAGTCTATAGTCTAGTCTATAGTCTAGTTTATAGTTTAGTCTATAGTCTAGTCTATAGTCTAGTCTATAGTCTAGTCTATAGTCTAGTCTATAGTCTAGTCTATAGTCTAGTCTATAGTCTAGTCTATAGTCTAGTCTATAGTCTAGTCTATAGTCTAGTCTATAGTCTAGTCTATAGTCTAGTCTATAGTCTAGTCTATAGTCTAGTCTATAGTCTAGTCTATAGTCTAGTCTATAGTCTAGTCTATAGTCTAGTCTATAGTCTAGTCTATAGTCTAGTCTATAGTCTAGTCTATAGTCTAGTCTATAGTCTAGTCTATAGTCTAGTCTATAGTCTAGTCTATAGTCTAGTCTATAGTCTAGTCTATAGTCTAGTCTATAGTCTAGTCTATAGTCTAGTCTATAGTCTAGTCTAGTCTATAGTCTAGTCTAGTCTATAGTCTAGTCTATAGTCTAGTCTAGTCTATAGTCTATAGTCTAGTCTAGTCTATAGTCTAGTCTATAGTCTAGTCTATAGTCTAGTCTATAGTCTAGTCTATAGTCTAGTCTATAGTCTAGTCTATAGTCTAGTCTATAGTCTAGTCTATAGTCTAGTCTATAGTCTAGTCTATAGTCTAGTCTATAGTCTAGTCTAGTCTATAGTCTAGTCAATAGTCTAGTCAATAGTCTAGTCAATAGTCTAGTCTATAGTCTTGTCTATAGTCTAGTCTATAGTCTAGTCTATAGTCTAGTCTATAGTCTAGTCTATAGTCTAGTCTATAGTCTAGTCTATAGTCTAGTCTATAGTCTAGTCTATAGTCTAGTCTATAGTCTAGTCTATAGTCTAGTCTATAGTCTAGTCTATAGTCTAGTCTATAGTCTAGTCTATAGTCTAGTCTATAGTCTAGTCTATAGTCTAGTCTATAGTCTAGTCTATAGTCTAGTCTATAGTCTAGTCTATAGTCTAGTCTATAGTCTAGTCTATAGTCTAGTCTATAGTCTAGTCTATAGTCTAGTCTATAGTCTAGTCTATAGTCTAGTCTATAGTCTAGTCTATAGTCTAGTCTATAGTCTAGTCTATAGTCTAGTCTATAGTCTAGTCTATAGTCTAGTCTATAGTCTAGTCTACAGTCTAGTCTATAGTCTAGTCTATAGTCTAGTCTATAGTCTAGTCTATAGTCTAGTCAATAGTCTAGTCTATAGTCTAGTCTATAGTCTATTCTATAGTCTAGTCTATAGTCTAGTCTAGTCTATAGTCTAGTCTAAAGTCTAGTCTATAGTCTAGTCTATAGTCTAGTCTATAGTCTAGTCTATAGTCTAGTCTATAGTCTAGTCTATAGTCTAGTCTATAGTCTAGTCTATAGTCTAGTCTATAGTCCAGTCTATAGTCTAGTCTATAGTCTAGTCTATAGTCTAGTCTATAGTCTAGTCTAGTCTATAGTCTAGTCTATAGTCTAGTCTATAGTCTAGTCTATAGTCTAGTCTATAGTCTAGTCTATAGTCTAGTCTATAGTCTAGTCTATAGTCTAGTCTATAGTCTAGTCTATAGTCTAGTCTATAGTCTAGTCTATAGTCTAGTCTATAGTCTAGTCTATAGTCTAGTCTATAGTCTAGTCTATAGTCTAGTCTATAGTCTAGTCTATAGTCTAGTCTATAGTCTAGTCTATAGTCTAGTCTATAGTCTAGTCTATAGTCTAGTCTATAGTCTAGTCTATAGTCTAGTCTATAGTCTAGTCTATAGTCTAGTCTATAGTCTAGTCTATAGTCTAGTCTATAGTCTAGTCTATAGTCTAGTCTACAGTCTAGTCTATAGTCTAGTCTATAGTCTAGTCTATAGTCTAGTCTATAGTCTAGTCTATAGTCTAGTCTATAGTCTAGTCTATAGTCTAGTCTATAGTCTAGTCTATAGTCTATTCTATAGTCTAGTCTATAGTCTAGTCTAGTCTATAGTCTAGTCTAAAGTCTAGTCTATAGTCTAGTCTATAGTCTAGTCTATAGTCTAGTCTATAGTCTAGTCTATAGTCTAGTCTATAGTCTAGTCTATAGTCTAGTCTATAGTCTAGTCTATAGTCCAGTCTATAGTCTAGTCTATAGTCTATAGTCTAGTCTATAGTCTAGTCTAGTCTATAGTCTAGTCTATAGTCTAGTCTATAGTCTAGTCTATAGTCTAGTCTATAGTCTAGTCTATAGTCTAGTCTATAGTCTAGTCTATAGTCTAGTCTATAGTCTAGTCTATAGTCTAGTCTATAGTCTAGTCTATAGTCTAGTCTATAGTCTAGTCTATAGTCTAGTCTATAGTCTAGTCTATAGTCTAGTCTATAGTCTAGTCTATAGTCTAGTCTATAGTCTAGTCTATAGTCTAGTCTATAGTCTAGTCTATAGTCTAGTCTATAGTCTAGTCTATAGTCTAGTCTATAGTCTAGTCTATAGTCTAGTCTATAGTCTAGTCTATAGTCTAGTCTATAGTCTAGTCTATAGTCTAGTCTATAGTCTAGTCTATAGTCTAGTCTATAGTCTAGTCTATAGTCTAGTCTATAGTCTAGTCTATAGTCTAGTCTATAGTCTAGTCTATAGTCTAGTCTATAGTCTAGTCTATAGTCTAGTCTATAGTCTAGTCTATAGTCTAGTCTATAGTCTAGTCTATAGTCTAGTCTATAGTCTAGTCTATAGTCTAGTCAATAGTCTAGTCAATAGTCTAGTCAATAGTCTAGTCTATAGTCTTGTCTATAGTCTAGTCTATAGTCTAGTCTATAGTCTAGTCTATAGTCTAGTCTATAGTCTAGTCTATAGTCTAGTCTATAGTCTAGTCTATAGTCTAGTCTATAGTCTAGTCTATAGTCTAGTCTATAGTCTAGTCTATAGTCTAGTCTATAGTCTAGTCTATAGTCTAGTCTATAGTCTAGTCTATAGTCTAGTCTATAGTCTAGTCTATAGTCTAGTCTATAGTCT